CCGCCACCCGTTCCAGGCTCGCCGCCCCCGTCGCCAGTGCTCCTCGAGTGTCCCGAACCCAACTGTTCCAAGAAGTACAAACATATCAATGGGCTCAAGTACCATCAGTCCCATGCCCATGGGTCTGCCGACGACGAGGACACCAAGGAGGTCACTTCCATGTCGGAGAACGACGAGTCGAATATCGAGGCCCCGAGTCCCGCCACTCCGGTCAAATCGCCGGAAAAGGGACAAGACAGCCCCCTTACGCCCAAAAAGGAGGAATTACCGATGATTTTAAGGGGGCTGGAGGTGTCTAGTCAACCAGCCACGCCGAGGAGCACACCCCCGTCACCAGCAACGAGCGATCTGGGGGGCGCAGGCTCACCCACGGTTCAAATCGAGAAAAGTGTGGTCAAACCAGGAGTCTTGCGATACACACCCACCGAGGAGTTCCCCGTCGGGGTCTTCGCCAACAAAACACCAGCAGCAGGTGCATATCCACCCCCTGAGCCCCACAATCGCATAAAAAACTAACCTCAAATTTTTGACAGTTGTCAAATAATTGTTAAAAAAAAATCAATCCTAACAAGAATACGATAATTGCCACTAGATAGTATCATAAGCAGGTGCATATTCGCCCCCTTGAGCCCCAAAAACCGCACAAAAAAACCTAACCTCAAATTTTTGACAGTTGTCGAAATGTCATTTAACAACGTTTATACAACATTTCAAATAATTATTAAAAAAAAATCAATCGTGATAAGAAAATGATAATTGCGATTAGATAGTATCATAAAATTGCACGTAAATAAACAAAATTGATAGTTAATTACCTTGCAAGGGACTGAATTTCGTTTCAATGAATTCAATTCAAATTGTGTGTAAACGTAGTCAAAATTTCTAACCTCAAATTTGGTTTCAGGTCCGGCGTTGGGGCCTTCCAGTGTGCGTGCCGTGCCCCCCGAGCCGGCTAGCCCCCAGACTGACCCCCCGAGTGCTCAACCGCAGTCTTTCGCATCTTTGCCCCCGCAGCAGTTCACCCAGCCCCCAACATTGCTAATTCCCCCACAGAATCTCCAAACTGCTCCTCCAATGTCCCCCCATGCGCCCCAATCCCCCAAGATAACGCAATTCAAAGTGAAGCCCACTGCCGCTCTCATGCCCGAAGACAAGTCAAAGGCACAACAAAATAACAAGACTCAAAGTTTCAAGAAAAAGAATCGGAAGAGCCCCGCCGGGAGCCCCCATCCGCCCCAGACCGAGCAACCTGTCTTCGGCGTGGAGCAAACAGCCAGGGATGAGGTGCAGAGCCCCGCGTATTCGGATATTTCCGACGATGGGGCCCCCCCAGTTGAGAGCGACATGGGGGATAAGAGTAAGAGTGCGGATAAGAAGAGCGAGTCGGGGCAGGTGCCCCACATGCCCCAATATGGTATGTATCCATTCTATGGACAGCCCCAGTATTTGGTGCCCCAAGAAGGCAAGAAGGATGAGAAAACGGGGGAAAAACCCGATAAAGATGGTAAGAAAGAAGGAAATGATTACCAACAAAAAATTTTACCTCAACAACATTACTACCCATATGGTTATATGCCAGGGTACCCCCCATACAATATGGATCCGAATTTTGGTGGCGTCCCCATGGTTCAAGAAGACAAAATCAAAGAAGAACGGATTAAAGAGACCCCCAGTCCTATTGAGCAACCCATCAAACAGCCCCCAGCCCCCATTCCTAACCCCATTCAAGTCCCTAAAGTGAAAACGGAGCCCCCACCAAAGGAGAAACACCAAAACGAAAACCACCAAATCCTCAAAGAAAGCATCGAAATCAAGAACCAAATGAACCCTTATATGTACCCCCGACAACAACAGCCCCCACATGACGACGTACGTCGTTTCTACACCCACAAAACCCCCACACCGACTAAACAACCCCCGCCTCCTAGCCCCAGTCTCAAACATAAAGACCCCAAACCGGAGGAGAAAAAAGACAAGGATTTGAAACAAGAGGGGGTGAAACCCACGATGGAGACACAGGGCCCCCCACCGCCCCCCACTTCCCAATACGCTTACATCCATCCCAGTTACATGCAATCGGCCCATTATGGGGCCCTCCCTTTTGACCCCAACCATCCCATGTATCGGGGGATTATGGTACCGGGGCCCTACAGTGGTAATCCCTATTTGCACCAAATCCCGAGGTATCATGCCCCCGAGGATTTATCTCGGGCTCCGCCCCCCAAAGCCCTCGATATGCTCCAACATCATGCTCAGTACTACTCCTCGCACAAAATACACGAATTGCAAGAGAGGGCTATCAAAAGTCCCACACCGAAGACTTCAATTGCCAGTTCGAGTCCGAGTACGAGTCAATCGGCTCCTGTGTCACAGCCCCAAATGACGCAGCCCCCCACGTCGACGACGAGTACGACACCAGCGGGGAAACAAACACCGGGGGACGGCAAAGACTCCAGATCGCCGCCCCCACAAAGACACGTACATACGCATCATCATACGCATGTGGGGCTCGGGTATCCCATGTATCCGCCCCCATATGGAGGTAAATAGTCAGAAAAACAAACAAAAGTGGGGTTTTTGCGCCATTAAATGTCTATTAGGCACTCGAAAATACACAACACTGTAGTTTTACTAAATTTTTGCGTCATTAAATGTCTATTAGGCACTCAAAAATACACGACAATGTTGTTTTACTAAATTTTTGCGCTATTAAATGTCTATTAGGCACTCGAAAATACACAACACTGTAGTTTTACTAAATTTTTGCGTCATTAAATGTCTATTAGGCACTCAAAAATACACGAGAATGTTGTTTTACTAAATTTTTGCGCCATTAAATGTCTATTAGGCACTCGAAAATACGAAACACTGTAGTTTTACTAAATATAAAAAATACATATACAAGATCAGTGGTATTCGTAAACATAAAAAAATGTCAAATGTCAAAATTTTTTACAGAACATTTTTTCCATGTTCCTGATATCTTATCTTGCTTGTAATTTTTCCTGTATAATTTCTATTTATAATTTAATAAAGACTTACTATTGCACTCAAAAATCACAAATTCACACACTTCACTTTGCAGTAAACAAAAAAATAAAAAATAAAAATGCACTAACCTTTATGGCATCTTCTAAAGCTACCCTCGGCTTTTTAAACGGACTTACTGAAAATAAAGAAACACAAAGTCAGTTGAATGTGTTATTAAATCAGTTGAAAAGTAAAATTTAAATGTGATTTTTCTAAAAAATTGAAAGGTATTGTTGACTTATCCTTTAATCCGCGTCCTTGTAGCTCAATTGTCTCATCTACTTCCATTGGCACTCACTCAAAATTTTGAAAATTGCGTACTACTAAATGTCTATTAGGCACTCGAAAATACACAACACACACCACAAAATATGTAATATACTCTTTTTTATATTAGTGTGCATCAAGTAGGTTGTAGAAGTCTAAATGCATCTTTAATTTAAAGGCTAATTCACTATTCATTCATTAAAATGTCATTCAGAGCGATCAGTAATGACAAAAATCTTTGTTAATTATGTGGTTCATTTTAATTATGTTTTTGCTACGTGGGGTACACATTTCATTGAAAAAATAATGTTTAGGAAGGTTGAGGTTAGGATTGTTTGAATTTTGCATGGTTGCCACCTTAAAATAATCCCTTTCAACGACTACTTCGATGCACATTAATATGAAAACGAGTATAGTTTATTTGGACAAGTGATTTGTACGAAATTTTAAAAATCGCGCACTACTAAATGTCTATTAATCACTCGAAAAAACACAACACGCACTCACTGGTCATTGGGATTTCTAAAACCAAACAAAAAATAAACCATTTAATTTGGAAAAAAATTAAATTCGTACTTAGTTTTGTTTTTGCTGATCATACGGACAAAAAGTCCAAATTCTCGGTTAAAATTGTTATAAAAAGAAGTTTGGACTATCTAAAAAGTTTGAAAAAGAATTTTAGAAAATCTGAAACTCAAAATCTGAAATTCAATAAATACTTACTGTTGCACTTAAAAATCACAAATTCTCACACTTCACTTTACAATAAACAAAAAAATGAAAAAAGGGCACTAACCTTTATGGCATCTTCTTCTACTACCCTTTGTAGCAATTTGCCTCTGCTTCTTACACGGACCTACTGAAAATAAAGAAACACAAAATCAGTTTAATGTGTCACTAATTCAGTTAAAAATATTAAATAAAATTTAAAAAGTAAAAATTTCGTAACAAATTAATAGTTATTGTTGACTTACTCTTTAATCCGGATCCTTGTAACACGTTTGTTTTCTCCATTTCCCCCATTGGCACTCACTAATAAGCCGAAATTTTAAAAATCGCGCACTACTAAATGTCTATTAGACACTCGAAAATACACAACATACACGCACTTTGTGTACAGCCCCCATTTCAACACGATTTCGCACTAAACCACGAAATAATAAGTAATAAATTAATAATTTATTCGGACAAGTGATTCGTACGAGAGCTTGGCTAAATTTGACTCGTTATTGTAATAATTTCCTCAAAAACGGCACAAAAACTATTTCGTAACAGTTCCGGTGAAAAGGCCTTTGTTCACCATTGGCCACGTCACCATTTTTTGCACCTTTTACACTTGTTTACACAACAACAAAAAATTGTACAGTTGCGGAATTAAAATTTCGGACAGTATTTTTCTGACTCTTTAAAAAGTTCACTGTAAACTACCTTCTACTGTCATCATGACTGGCATTTGACAATTAAACTTATTTTTTTATTGTTAAAATTGTCTTAGGAAATGTATTAATTGAACTAAGTGTAATTAAATTATTGCTTTGATTTAAATAAGTCAAAAAATGTAATGTAAAGGTCGTTTTAGTGTTTACATTATGAAAATGACAATACTGTCCGAAATTTTAATTTCGCAACTGTACGATTATACAATCCCTTAATCCCTCAGACATGGCGTCAAAATGCCCCAAATCTGAATTAATTAATTAATTAATCGCTAATTAAAATTTGATTGCAATTAAGAATGTCTGTGAAGAGTTTTTTCGGCCTTGATAATTGTCATTGACATTTGTTCACATTTTTGACAGCTACGCTATCTGATTTTTGTGTGGTTGGCACTACTAATTGTGATTTGACAGGTGTGACAAAATTTCAATTAACTTTCTTAAAAGTAGTTATTTTTGTGTGTATGGTTGGCGTTACTAATTAAAATTTGACAGCTGTCAGATAATTTCAAATAATTTTGTTAAAAATAGATAAAAAAGCAATATTTTGTTTGTGAAGACTTTGAGTTGCAAATTTCATTGAATTCTAATAACTGAAGTTAGTTTATGACGAATACAAGTTTCAAATGTAAATTTTTACTCATTTCGTGGGTATTTTACCGAGTTTAATGATTTTTTTTTGTGTGGTTGGCAGAACTAATTGTTCTTTTGTGAAAAATAGGTAAAAAAGGTATTGTGATTGTGCTATTTTAGGTTTGTGACGCTTTGAGTTGAGACAGGAGGCTGTGCGAGTTTTTTTCTATTGGTATTTCTAACCTCACTTATTTCGCAATGAATTTAAACGTAAATATCAATCCATTTCGTGATTATTTTAGTATTTTTTATGTGGTTGGCAGTATAAATTGTAATTTAAATAATTTCTTTAAGAGTAGGTAAAAAAGAAATTTTTGGTACTTGAAATTGTAGATAATTGCGTTTGTGAGGACATTGGGTAATTTTTTATCCATTTTGTGGTTATTTTAGACACTCAAATGATTTTTTTGTGAGATTGGTAGTACTCAATGTCACTACTAAATGTCTATTAGGGACTCGAAAATACACAACACTGTATTTTTACTAAATAATTGTAAAAAAAACATACAAAATCATCAGTATCATTAAATAAACATAAAAAATGTCAAAGGCCAAAAAATAAAAGTCAAAATCTTTGACAGATACCATTTTTTAAACATTTTTTTCCATGTTTCTGGTATCTTATCTTACTTGAAATTACAAACTAAAACTTTTGTTATTCTTGGACATTTTTTGATAAGTGGCAGCGCCATCTTCCCCATTGCCTGCCAAACTCATTCGGGGATTTTGTGTGGTTGGTACTACTAAATATCTCTCAGGCACTCGAAAATACACAACATTGTATTTTAACTAAATAATTGTAAAAAAACATACAAAATCATCAATATCATTAAATAATATCGATCCATTTCGTGATTATTTTAGTAATTTTTTTATGTGGTTGGCAGTATAAATTGTAATTTAAATAATTTCATTAAAAAGTAGGTGAAAAAGAAATTTTTGGTACTTGAAATTGTGAGGACATTGGGTATATTATTACCCATTTCGTGGTTATTTTCGACAGTCAAATGATTTTTTGTGAGATTGGTAGTCACTACGAAATGTCTATTAGGCACTCGAAAATACACAACACTATTTTTACTAAATAATTGTAATAAAAAACGTACAAAATCATCAATATCATTAAATAATATCGATCTATTTCGTGAGTATTTTAGTAATTTTTTTATGTGGTTGGCAGTATAAATTGTAATTTAAATAATTCATTAAAAGTAGGTAAAAAAGAAATTTTTGGTACTTGAAATTGTGAGGACATTGGGTATATTATTACCCATTTCGTGGTTATTTTCTACAAAATGATTTTTTTGTGAGATTGGTAGTACTCAATGTCACTAGTAAATGTCTATTAGGCACTCGAAAATACTCAACACTGTATTTTTACTAAATAATTGTAAAAAAACATACAAAATCATCAGTACCATTAAATAAACATAAAAAATGTCAAAATCTTTGACAGATAACATTTTTTAAACATTTGTTCCATGTTTCTGGTATCTTATCTTACTTGAAATTACAAACTAAAACTTTTGTTATTCTTGGACATTTTTCGATAAATGGCAGCGCTATCTTCTCCATTGCCTGCCAAACTCATTCGGGGATTGTGTGTGGTTGGCACTACTAAATATCTCTTAGGCACTCGAAAATACACAACATTGTTTTTTAACTAAATAATTGTAAAAAACATACAAAATCATCAATATCATTAAATAATATCGATCCATCTCGTGATTATTTTAGTATTTTTTTATGTGGTAAGCAGCATAAATTGTAATTTAAATAATTTCATTAAAAGTAGGTAAAAAAGAAACTTCTGGTACTTGAAATTGTGAGGATATTGTGAGATTGGTAGTACTCAATGTCACTACTAAATGTCTATTAGGCACTCGAAAATACACAACAGTGTCAAAATGGTGATTTAACCTCACTTTTGTGATTTTGGTGGTCGGTGGTGCGTAAAATGTATGTTTTTTGTTGCAGCGGCGGTGTTGGCGAGCCAGCAAGCAGCAGCAGTGACAGTTATAAATCCTTATCCGACCAAGTGAGTGCCCGAACTCGAAAGAAGTAGTGACTAAAGCATTCCATAGTTGTGTCTTGTTATATAGTGTGCACTGCTGATGTAACCTGATGACTTGATTTAGATCCACAGCTGTTTTGCAATGCAAACGTATTGTACATTATGATTTGATTGATTGTAAATAGTGTAAAGACATTGTCTCATGTCTTTTAAAGTCATAAAAGATTAGTTGATACTTTGTAGTAGACTGATATTTGACTTATTAGAAAGTACTGTGTATTTTTTAATGTAAAACTGTCTTCTTTATTATTATTATTATATAAAAAAAAAGAAAAAATTGATACGGTTAGATATATAACTTTTTATTTTTACTATTTTACATTGTTTGTTCCATTCCAGTTTTATTGGAATATTTGTATAATTAAAACACTGTCCTTTTTTACTTAAACAGTTGGAGTCTGTACATCTTGTAATATTCTGTAAATAAGCCATGACATAATAAAATTGTATAAATTACAAGTTTTGAAGCCTTTTGTTGCTTTGCTAATTCATCACACTCAAGTGCAAGAAAACATTTTCGGATTTTCTTACACTGTGATAATTCCAAAACTGCGACTTTTGTGATACCAAACATTTGAGAAGATTACCTATTGTACAGACTACGAGGGGCTTTATGTAAAGTTGCTTAATAAAAATAAACAAACTAAAACTTTTGTTATTCTTGGACATTTTTTTGATAAATGTTGTACAAAACTGTTACATCTGTTGTCAAAAAAATAAATGTCTTTCATAACCAATCTTCTACTGATTCTAAATCCGACATTGCGCCGCCATCTTGGGGAAAAACTGCCTGCGAAATTTATTCGACGATTTTGTGTGGTTAGCTCTACTAAATGTCTATTAGGCACTCGAAAATACACAACACTGTATTTTTACTAAATAATTGTGAAAAAACATACAAGATCATCAGTATTATTAAATAAACATAAAAAGTGTCAAAGGTCAAAAAAAATGTCAAAATCTTTGACAGATAACATTTTTTCCACCTTTTCTTACTTGAAATTACAAACTAAAACTTTTGTTATTCTAGAATTTTGTGTGATTAGCACTACTAAATGGTCTATTAGGCACTCCAAAATACACAACACTGTATTTTTACTAAGTAATTATATAAAAAAAACAAATACAAGATCATCAGTATCATTAACTAAGAAAATGTCAAAGGTCAAAAAATAAATGTCAAAATAACATTTTGACTTGTTTCTGGCACATTTTCTTACTTGAAATTACAAACTAAAACTTTTGTTATTCTTGGACATTTTTTGATAAATGGCAGCGCCATCTTCCCCATTGCCTGCCAAACTCATTCGGGGATTTTGTGTAATTGGTACTACTAAATATCTATTAGGCACTCGAAAATGCACAACACTGTATTTTTACTAAATAAAAAAAAAACAAAAAAAAGATCATTGTATCATTAAATGAACATAAAAAATGTCGAAGGTCAAAAAATATATGTCAAAATCTTTGACAGATAACATTTTTTTCGTGTTTTTGGTATATTTTTTACTTGAAATTATAAACTACTACTTTTGTTATTGTTGGACATTTTTTGAGAAATGTTGTACAAAACTGTTACATCTGTTGTCAAAAAAATAAATGTCTTATAACTAATCTTTTACAAATTCTAAATCGACATTTGCGCCGCCATTTTGCCTTCGAAATATATTCGGAGATTTTGTGTGGTTAGCACTACTAAATGTCTATTAGGCACTCGAAAATACACAACACTGTATTTTTACTAAGTAATTGTGAAAAAAAAAACCAAATACAAGATCATCAGTATCATAAAAAATGTCAAAGGTCAAATATAAATGTCAAAATCTTTGACAGATACCTAACATTTTTTCCATGTTTCTGGTATCTTTTCTTACTTGAAATTACAAACTAAAAATTTTATTATTCTTGGACATTTTTTGATAAATGTTGTACAAAACTGTTACATCTGTTGGCAAAAAAATAAATGTCTTTCATAATCACTCTTCTACTAATTCTAAATTCGACATTCGGGCTGCCATCTTGGGGAACAATGGCAGTGCCATCTTCCCCATTGCCTGCGAAACTCATTCGGGGATTTTGTGTGGTTAGTACCACAAAATGTCTATTAGGCACTCGAAAATACACAACACTGTATTTTTACTAAGTAATTGTATAAAAAAACAAATACAAGATCATCAGTATCATTAACTAAACATAAAAAAATGTCGAAAGGTCAAAAAATAAATGTCAAAATCTTTTGACAGATCACATTTTGAAACATTTTTTCCATATTTTTGGTATCCTTTCTTACATGAAATACAAATTAAAACTTTTGTTATTCTTGGATATTTTTTTGATAAATGTTGTACAAAACTGTTGGCAAAAAATTAATGTCTTTCTTAACCAATCTTCTATTACTTCTAAATCCGATATTCGCGCCGCCATTTTGGGGAACAATGGCAGCGCCATCTTTCCCGTTGCTTGCGAAACTCATTCGGGAATTTGGGTGGTTGGCCCTACACAGTGTCTATTAGGCACTCGAAAAAACACAACACTGTATTTTTACTAAATAATTGTAAAAAAAATACAAGATCATCAGTATCATTAAATAAACATAAAAAAATTCAAAAGTCAAAAAATATATGTCAAAATCTTTGACGTATAACATTTTTTCCATTTTTCTGATATTTTTTCTTACTTGAAATTACAAACTAAAACTTTTGTTATTCTTGGACATTTTTTGATAAATGTACAAAATGTTTACATCTGCTGTCAAAAAATAAATGTTTTTTATAACCAATTTTCTGCTAATACGAAATCTGACATTTGCGCCGCCATTGCCTTCGAAATTCATTCGGGGATTTTGTGTGGTTAGCACTACTAAAAATCTATTTGGCACTCGAAAATACACAACACTGTATTTTTACTCCGCCATGATGGTAACAAAAGAGAGTCACAAGCGATTAAAACTGAAACTTGGTGTTACTTTGCCTTTAAGTTGGTAATTTAGTTTTTTAGACTATTGTTTAATAAAAATAAATGAACCAAAACTTTTTATTGCCTATTTATTTGATAAATGTACAAAACTGTTACATATGTTGTCAAAAAAATAAATTCTAGGGGGTGAACCCGATAATCATGACTAAATAAACGACCAAATAGATGAGAAAGAAGATTCGGTCCAAAATCTGCCCCAAAATCCGCCATTCGCTCGTCTTCTGGCCGCCATCTTGTGGAAGAATAGCAGCGCCATCTTCCTCATTACCCAACGCCTGCAAAACTAATTATTCGGGGATTTTCCCAACTTTCTCATACTTTAAACGAAGTTTCGTCGAGGAAAATGACTTGTCCCGGTTTAAAAGCCACGAAAACACACACAATTTTGGACACCCATGCCGGCGCCATCTTGTTGTCACGCTCCGCCATGTTTTTCACCATCAAACTAAACACCACTGCGAAGGCTGATAACAGGAGAGAATCACGGGCGAATAAAACTGAAATTTTGGTATTATTTTTTTGTATTAAATCTGGGGATTTTGTGGTTATATTACGAATTAGGGGAATTTTATCGCCTGACATTGGTACCATCCATGAAATATACTGCACGTAGAGAAACTCATTAACTAAATTAATGTAACACAGGACGAGTCTTTGGTTATTTTGGGGTGATAACCAGAGAGAAGCAAAAGTTAGGATTATTAGTGCTAAAAAATAGTTTTTGGGCACGAGTCGCATATTTAATTTTTTCTACTACCAATAGCCGGGAGAATGACACTCGCGGCGTGCGCCCCCGCTTGTCTCCGTATCCTGAAACTGAAATTAATGGAAGGGTAGGTGTTATTGGGGCAACATTTAAAAATCCCGGGATGTTTAACAATCCTAGTTTCCTCCAATTCCCACTCCCCATTCGGGACCAAATCCTCGGTATTAATCCCATTTTTGGCGACTTGTATGTCCAATTCCTCGCCACTGTGCACCCATGACCCGAACCTGATGGTACAATTATGGGTGTCGAATGGGTATTTGGTCAAATCGGCGACACAAATGCTGGTATGGTGCACGGGGGGCACACAGGAGACTTGTCCCAGATGGGAGACGAGACAGGTGGCTTGGTCGAAGACTGCGGGATTCCCCGACTGCTCGCGGCGGTTGTAGACGGAGAGGTCGGGGACCCAGATGTCGGCGTCGGCGAGGTGGAGGGTGGTGAGGGCGTCGTAGTCGTCGGGGGCCCATTTGAGGTGCTGGTCGACCCATGACTGCAACAGGGGGGTGAGGGGGGTTTGGGGTTGCTGTTGGGGTTTACCATGGCGAACCAGCTGTCGATGGTGAAGCTGTTGTCGTGGATGTCGTAGTTGTAGTATTTGAGGACCATGCGGATGAAGACACGGACGGGGTCTTTGTAGGCGAGGACGGGGCGCAGGTTGCGGTCGTAGTCACATAAGAGGGCTTTGCGGAGACGGATGTGGGCCAGTTGGGATTTGTCGGAAATGCAGTCGTCACCAGACGCTGAAATTTCGCAGGAAATTTTGCTCAGGAAACTATAGTTTCAGTGCGCAGGAAATTTAGCTCAGGAAACTAGAGTCTCAGTTCGCAGGAAATGTTGCTCAGGAAACTATAGTTTCAGT